GGAATGCCACGATCACGGCTACGAACACCATCAAGGCTTTTTGAGTGGCGAGGGAAATTGAATGTACGAGAATGAGAGCAGTTTAATTGGTGTTCAAAAGAGATTGTAATTTAATTAGATAGATTATTATTGTTGTTGTTGTTGTTACCTGGCAATATCGGCAATGTCGCCATTACTAAATTTATAATTACGCATCATATCAGAGTAGAAAGGATCAACTTGTTCTTGTCTATCGATTAATATTAATTAATAAATTATAAATAGTTATTATTATTATCACTATCATTATCATTTCCTTAATTCAAATTTTAAAATCAAAAAGCTCCGTTAATAAATTATTATTTATTTGTGTAATGTAGGCCCAGTTGATGGAAAATACATACTTGGAATTACTTCTAGAGCTAGTCATGTGTTTACTGATATGATTCAAACGATATTGCTGAGAGAACATAATCAAAGATGTGATAATTTATATCTACAAAATGGTGAACAGTGGAATGATGATATGTATTTCCAGGAAGCAAGAAGATGGATAATCGCTCTAGTACAAAAAATCACTTTTAAAGAATATTGTAAATATATTGATAATTAGAAATTACATATATGTTGACATTATTTTCACCATCTTTGGATTAATTCTATGAATCTTATCTTTCTTCATTCAATAATAATAATAACAGTTAGTGTTGTAGTCGGAGTCCCGTTATTACCACCTACTGGATATAATCCAAATATAACCCCCGGGGTTGATGTCAGTAAAATAAATAAAAATTTAAAATCCATGCATCCCCATCTATTCATTCCCTCATTCATTTTATCCTTTCATTATTAGACATTTTTTTCAACCGTTACAATGCGTTATGGACATTCTGAAGTTAGGTAATTAATTGTTTAATAATTTAAAGATAATCTTGTATATATTATTACTTGATTGATATTAACATTATTTATATAGTAATGAATATCCTATTATTGATAATAATGGACAAGTGATGGTGTAAGTGTAATCATTAAATCAAATTAATTTTTATTATTAAACAAGAGACTATTTTTTCATCAAATTAATATTTATTACAGAACATTGACTTTGAATGATCTTTCAAGACCTGGTTTATTGGAAAATTTTGATGTACCAACATTGGCTTTGTCCATCTCTTCACAAAGGTTTTCTTTCAAGATTTTAAAATTTGAATTAAGGAAATGATAATGATAGTGATAATAATAATAACTATTTATAATTTATTAATTAATATTAATCGATAGACAAGAACAAGTTGATCCTTTCTACTCTGATATGATGCGTAATTATAAATTTAGTAATGGCGACATTGCCGATATTGCCAGGTAACAACAACAACAACAATAATAATCTATCTAATTAAATTACAATCTCTTTTGAACACCAATTAAACTGCTCTCATTCTCGTACATTCAATTTCCCTCGCCACTCAAAAA